CTTTCTTCCTTCCTTCCTTCCTTCCTTCCTTCCTTTCTTTTTTCATTCCTTTTTCTTTCTTTTTTTCTTTCTTCTCTATCTTTTTTTCTTCCTTCCTTCCTTCCTTCCTTCCTTCCTTCCTTTCCTTTTTTCTTTTCCTCTTTTCTTCTCCCCCCTCTCTCTCCCTCTCTCCCTGTATCTCCCTCCCTTCCTCTCTCCCTCCCTCTCTCTCTCTCCCACCCTCTCTCTCCCCCTCTCCCCTCCTCTCTCCCTCCCCTCTCTCTCTCTCCCACCCTCTCCCTCCCCCTCCCTTTCCCTCCCTCTCTCTCCCTGTCAGCTGGTGCTGCATCCAGAATCCAAGAAGGAAATACTTAGACTCTTTTAATCAGAGAAGAGATATCTTTTATTGGAAATCCAGGGGTAGCAACAAAGGAATTGTGAAACTGAGAAAACGGGCGCGTAAATCCCGTATACAAAGGGACGGCAAGGTTCCCACCCGCAATAGTTGAAATGGTTCTTCCAATGGAGAGTTGTGAGTGTCGTCCTGAGGGCCTCTCCAGGTGGGGATGAGGCTTCTGTCCCGTGACCTTGGCGTGCTTAGATAAAGGTTTGCAGCTGCGCGTAGCCTAGAAGAGAAAGCCGAGCAAGGATGTATCCCCCCCCCAGTTAATACTGTTCTGTTTGTAAGACCCCCCAGCGCACCTCCCATAATCCTCCCCCGTCCACCCCCCCCGTTACTTATGGCAGCCGAAAGATGCAAAGCAAAGGGAGGAAATCTTGAAGCCTGACACTCCCTCCCCCTCCCTCCCTTTCCCTCCCTCTCTCTCTCCCTCCCTCCCTCCCTCCCACCCTCTCTGTCCCTCCCCTCCCTCTCCCTCCCTCCCCCTCCCTCCATCTCTCTTCCTTCCTCTCTCTCCCTCCCTCCCTGTCTTTCCTTTCACTCCTTCTCCCTCCCTTTCTCTCCCTCCTGCTATCTCTCTCCCTTCCTCTCTCCCCCCTCTCTCTTTCCCTCCCCTCTCTTTCCCTCTCCCTTCCTCCCTCCCTCTCTCTCTTTCCTTTCACTCCCGCTCCCTCCCTCCCTCCTTCTCCATCCCTCCCTCCCTCTCTCTCTCCAAACCTGCCTCCCTTCTAGCACTGATGTGGTTCCCTGGCTGGGTCTCGAAACGTCTTACTCCAAGGAGGAAGGTGGGGGGGGCGTTGCACCTCCACCCACAGCCTGTGTTTTTTCTTCCCCCCTCAGCTCAGGACCCCGGCATCTCCCCCAGCCAAAGCCTTTGCGCCGAAAGCACCAAAGTGCTGACCTCCGGCTCTCTTTCGGAGAGCGGCGTGGTGCCCGTCGAAGCCTGCTGCCTGGTCATCCTCGCCACGGACAATAAGGTGAGATCCGGGGCCCTCCACGGGTTTTTGTTGGGGTCCTCCTGCCGGAATGCTCCTCCTTCTGCCTTCCATATTTTGAATTTATTTCATTATCTAAAACGATACGTTTCCCTGCCCTCTTATTGTCACAGGGCTTCCCGCATCTGGGTTTTATGACTGGGACTAGAACTCACGGTCACCTGGTGATTGGCCCAAAGTCACCCAGCTTACTTTCATGCCTAAGGTGGGACTAGAACTCACCGTCACCTGGTGATTGGCCCATTCATCCATCTTGTTTCATGCCTAAGGCGGGACTAGAACTCACCATCACCTGGTGATTGGCCCAAAGTCACCCAACCGACTTTTATGCCTAAGGCGGGACTAGAACTCACTGTCACCTGGTGATTGGCCCAAAGTCACCCAACTGACTTTCATGCCTAAGGCGGGACTAGAACTCCCCGTCTCCTGATGATTGGCCCAAAGTCACCCAGCCGGCTTTCATGCCCAAGGCGGGACTGGAACTCCCTGTCTCCTGGGGACTGGCTCTGCACCATCCCCACGCTCTCTCCCAAACTGGTTACTTCCATTTCCCAAGATCCTGGTTTGTCTTATGTTGTCCGCCGAGAAAAACATAACTGAGTTCCCAAAATGATGATGGTGGTAGGGTTAGATATTCCCTCCCCTTTAGCAGCCAAACCGTCGTCTTCCGAACCCAGCTCCCGGCACTTCCCCCACTGTGCAGTCAGTCCTCGAACCTACGACGGCCAGATTCCTGTGGCTAATGGAGACATTTGCTCCGGGGATGTCTCTCCCGTTTTATGACTTCTCCTCTTGGTTCAGGGAATCCCTGCCATTGTTTAACGAGTGATTTCCTCCCCCAGTCATTAAGCGAGTCGGGCTTCCTTTGGTTGCCAAAGGGGAAGCGGGGGATTGCGTGACCCCCACGACCATCATAAATATGAGTCCGTGGCCACGTCTCCTGAACTTGGTTCCCGTGATGTTGGAGATCCCGCGACGGTCGTAAGGGATGAAGGACGGTCCTTGTTTTCTGGGGCTGTCGTAACTCCGAATGATCCCTCAGCAAAGCGAGTGGCCGCCTTGTATAACCCAGCGTCCGCCGTGCATCAAAAGCCATGGCCTGCCTTCTCCTCCCTCCAGAAGACCTTCCATTCTTCTAGAAGTTCTTCTTTTCTTCTCGAAGGCTTTCTTTGGAAACGGATGTCCACCTTCACCTCCGTTGGCTTCCTTCCTCCCTCCAGGTCGCCAGCGAGGAACTCTGCTCCCTTCTCAGCCAAGTCTTCCACATCGTTTACACTGAATCTACTATCGATTTCCTGGACCGAGCCATCTTCGATGGGGCCAGCACCCCTACGCGGCATCTCTCCATCCACAGTGGTAGGAGGACGCCTCTCCTTGGGGGTTTGGAGGTCATCTTCAGCGCCTCTTCCGGAGGCCCCCTTGGATTCATGGAGTAGCGGTCGGGAGACGGCCTCTCTCTCTCCTGCGGGTGGGAGAAGGGTCTTCTGTCATCGAGTCGGCTTCCACGGGAGGGGGACGTCCGATCCAAGAGATCGAGGTGGCCCCTCGAGGCTCCTCACAAGGGATCGTCTCCAAAACCTGGCCATAGTTGGAAGGGTGGAGAAATGGTGGGTGATGGACCCTCCCGAGAGAATATTTGTATCTCTGAGCTGTGGGTGGGTTTTCTTGCAGATGTGACCCAACTAGGGAATGTCATCAGGGTTAGAAGGAAAAGGAGGAGGAGGAAGGAGAGGAGGAGGAGACAATTTCGAGCTTACATTACGAGCATCCAGAAAAATCCTGCTAGGGCTTATTTTCTGGCTGGGTCTACTTTTCAAGGAAACCGGGTAGATGATGGAGGAGTAGGAATTCCTCCTCCTGCTTCTCCTTTTCCTCCTCCATCTTGTTTTTCTCCTCCTCCTCCTGTTCCTTCTTGTTCTGCTCCTCCTTCTCCACCTCCTTCTTCTCTTCTCCTTGTGCTCCTCCACAACTCCTCCACCTTATTTTGCTCCTCCTCCTCCTGCTTTTCCTTTTGCTCCTCCTCCTCCTCCTCCTCCACTTTGTCCTTCTCTTCATTGACTTCCTGTTCTCTTATTTCTCCTCCTCTTCCTCCTCCTTGTTCTTCTCTTCCTCCTCTTCCTCTTGAAAACCCCTTCCCTCCTAGCAGGGCAAAATTTCAGAAACAGGCGGGGGAGACCCCCTATTCCTAACCCTCCTTCCCTGTCGGACAGGCAAGGGGTCTCTGGAGCTCGGCGGATCGTCCTTCAATGAGTGGACTGGCCCCCGAGGGGCTTCTGCCCCGCGTCGGTGTCAGGACCATCCTATAGGGTGGGCATAGGGGAGTCCAAAGCCCCCCAACTATTTCCGTATGCTTTTCTGACCCCCGTTCTCCACCCCCACCTCCATCTTCCCCCGCAGACGACTCGTCAACCAAAGTGGACGTTAAAGATCCGTACGAGACTGAAGCGAGCACGTTGTGAGTTCCTCGCATCGCGACAGGCCCCGTTTCTCCCCTCTTCCTCCTTGACTTATAATGACCGACAGGGGGGAGGGGCAGATTTCCATTGTCAAGACAACGGAGGGAGGTTGGGCTCCATGCTGACGCGCTTTCACGGGGGCACCCGTTATTAAGCAGATCGCTGGGGTTGTTCAGCCAGTCGGGCGGATGGGTCCTCTGGGACCCCGCGATGGTCGTAAGAGTGAAAAATGGTCATAACTCACATTTTTCATTGCTGTTTTTTAAGGCCAAATTTTGATCGCTTAACCATGGGGATGCTTGAAGCGTAGTAAGTGTGAGGACTGGCTGAAAGTCACTAATTTAGCCAAATTTTGATCACATCAGCTCAGGGATGCTGAGATGGTCGTAAGGGCAAGGAGTGGCTCTAAGCAACTTTTTTCCGGCACCGTTGTAACTCTCATCGCTAAATGAATGGTTGTAAGTCAGGAACAACCTGAACTGTCCCCAATGAAATTTGCTTGGCGTATCTGGCTGCTTTAGGAGTCCTCATTATACAATGATTCATTTAGCGACCGTTCCCCGTTACAACAGATGTTTTTCGCATTTGGATTCGTATTTATGATGGTCGCAGTCTCCCTCAGATTCCTCTCCTGACACCCAAGCTCAACAGGGGAGATGGATTCACTTAATGGCGGGGGTGACTGACTTTAACAACCCCGCGCTTCACTTAGCCACGGCGGTCAGAGAGGCTGTGCAAAGAGGGCAAAACTCATGTCTCACTTAGCGACGGAAACGTGGGGGCAGGCTCAGTGGCGGTCCTACGTCGAGGACCGCCTCTATTCTGATTATAATTATCGAAACAAGAAGTTTTCCTTTCCGAGCGGAATTGAAACGGGCTACAGCTATTGGACAAGGGGACCTCGACGAAGAGAGACCTAGTGCCATCATTGAAGCCGCGAAGCTGGAGCCGGCTTCAAGGCCCGTCCTGTCCCTTTGGAAGGTCCTGGAATCACTTTGTGTGTGTGTGTCTGTGTGTTTCCCCCCCCCCCCCCGCCCCCTGTGTTTTTCCAGCTCTTTCCCAGAATCCTTAGAGATGGGGGGAAACTCCCCTACTTCCTTCTCGGCCCAGCCGTCGCCCCCCACCAAAACAGCCAGTGACAGCGAGTTGAGCACAACTGCCACCGAACTCCTGCAGGACTACATGATGACGGTAAGTGGAACCAGGAAAAACACCCCCCCCCCCGAAGAGTTGGAAGAGACCTTGGAGGTTATCTAGTCCGACCCCCTGCTCGAGCAGGAGAGGCTTAATAACAGAATAAACAAGTTGGAAGGTACCTTGAAGGTCATCTAGTCTAACACCCCCCCCACCCCGTTGAAGAAGCCGATTCGGCTTATTTTAATAGGGGAGGATTCCAACTCCCAGAATCCCCCAGCCAGCATGCTTTAAGAGAGGAAGACTTCAACTCCCAGAATCCCCAAGCCAACTTCCTGTTTATAAGCCAGGTCTAGTTTCCATAAACCATAAATGGCGAGTTTGACTCTTAGAGAAAACAGACCATCTACCTTGGACCATTCCTTGAAACCTGGATTCCTTCCAATGTTGGCTTGTCTCTTCATTTGCATAACCACATGCCTCCTCCATTCTAAGTTACGGACGAAGCTTTCCTCGCACGAGATCCAACAGTTCGCCATGCTTCTGCACGAGTACCGCAACGGAGCCTCCGTCCATGAGTTTTGCATCAACCTGCGACACCTCTATGGGGACAGCCGGAAGTTCCTTCTGCTGGGTAACTTTCTCCCCATCCCGTGTGGGGATTGGGTGCCTCCCCCCAAAATTAATTGTTGGTTTTGCCCACTGGTTTAGAACAGGGTTTCTCAATCTTGGCTAGTTGAGTTGGCTTCAACCATGGGATCCTTAGTGCTATGTGAGTGGTGTTTTTTTTTTTGCAAGGTCCTGCGTTCGAATCGACCCACCCTTTTGACAAACCTTCTCCGCTGAGTTCCCTTACCCTTCTTCCTCCTCCCAAGGTCTCCGTCCCTTTATTCCCGAGAAGGACAGCCAATACTTCGAGAACTTCCTCGAGACTATCGGTGTCAAGGATGGCCGGGGGATCATCACAGATAGCTTCGGACGATACCGGCGGACGGTGAGATCCGTCTCCAACTCCGCCACCAACGGCAATGGCGCCACCGGAAGCTCTGACGACCAGTCGGTGCCGTCGGAGGGCGATGAGTGGGACCGGATGATCTCGGACATCAGCAATGACATTGAAGCCTTGGGGTGCAGCTTGGATCAAGATTCGTCGTGATCGGGCAAGGGCGCCGAGAGACATTGGAACTTTCGATCCCGCGCCACCACCCCTTCCCCCCCCCCCCTCTCCTTTCCCCCATCCCCCCCCTGAGACTCTCAACCCCCTCCGGCCATTTCTCCAAGTGTGGGTGCCCATCACTGTGTGTGTCAGTGTGAGTGTGTGAGTGAGGGGATTGTGAAGAAGCCACAAACCCCAGGAAGGTCCTCAGAAGCTTCTTGGGGGGGGGGCTATTACACACACACACACACACACACACACACATACACACACACACACGGTTTTCCACACCTTTCTAACGCTTGTCCTTACATTTCAAAAGCAGGAGACGACTTGGTGGAGAAGCAGTTGAGGCGCTCCAGAGCTCCATCCGTTGGTGGGAGATAAGCTCCTTCTGACGACGCCAATGGGGCTGATCTTCCTGGGAGTCGTTTGGGAGGTCTAATAAGTTGGGTGGGAGGGCGCAGTGAATTTGAACTCGGGGCTCCCTATGGGAAGGCGGGGTTGACCTCAGGGAGGGTGGAGAACCTGTTTGAGAAACGCAGGTCTCCTTCAAGACAAGCCGCAGCTCCTTCGCTCGTCCCCGTGGGTCCAAACTTTCCCCGATCTTGGCCAAATGCAGTCCGTTCCAAGGGGCCGGACCTCAGTGAGGAGCCTGGCCTCCGTAGCACAAGCAGGGCATTGTGGGTGTGGGTGGGTGTGTCTCGTGGTGGACTTCCACCAAGAACTTCATTGGAGAACCAACTGAACGCAAACGAAACGTTTTTAAATCCTGGTTTGTTTTTTTTAAGAGCAAGAAGCAGAGGGAATATATACATATGTACATGTGTTGTATATATTATACATACAAATGCACAGATATTTTTCTAAGCGTGTTTCACACCACCAAGAGCTCTCCTGGCTTCCCATAAACTGACATGTATGCTCTTTTAGCCCTTTGGGGAGATGGACATCTGTGTCTTTTATTATTATTATTTTTAAAGCGCACCAAAGATTGTCGGCTTATTGTGTTTTGTGTTTGAATAAACCACCAGTTTCGAATTGAAAAAAAAAAAAAAAAGATGGCCAGGGAGGACCAAACTGCGATAAGGGACTTGAGGACTTCTTAGCTTTCCACCTGGGAGAAACTGACCGGGACACGTGCTGGTTTTGTGTCTATGAAAATGAGGGGGTGGGTCTGGGGTGGGTCTCTGAGCTTGGTGGTTTTCCTGAGGACTTTTCGTGACCCAGCAAGGTGACATCATTAGGGCTGGAAGGGAGGGAGGTTTGGTCTATGTTTATAGACAGCCCCTTCTAGCCCCGATGACGTCCCCTAGTTGGGTCATGAAACGTCTGCAAGAAAACCACCCAGCTCAGAGGGCACCACGGACCCCACAGTTCCCCTTCCCACCCTCCATTCTTTTTTCTCATTCCCATTTCTTTTTTTTCTACCTTTTCCAATCCTTTTCCTCCTTTCTTTCCTTGTCATCCTTCCTTCTTTCCTTCCTCTCATTCCCCTTTCTATGTTTTCCAGGTCTTTCCCTTTTCTCCCTTCTTCCTTCCTCCTATTCCCATTTCTTTCCTTCTGTTTCCTCCTCCCCTTCCTTCATTCCTCATTCCCATTTGTACCTTTTCCAATTCTTTTCTCGTTTCCTTCCTTCTCCTGTCCTTTCCTTCCTTCCTCTCATTCCCATTTCTACCTTTTCCAGTCCTTTTCGCCCCCTTCCTTCCTTCCTTCCTCCCTTCCTTCCTTCCTTCCTTCCTTCCTTCCTTCCTTCCCCATTTCTACCTTTTCCAATCCTTTTCTTCCCCTTTCCTTCCTTCCTCTCATTCCCATTTCTACCTTTTCCAATCCTTTTCTTTCTTCCTTCCTTCCTTCCTTCCTTCCTTCCTTCCTTCCTTCCTCATTTCTACCTTTTCCAATCCTTTTCTTCCCCTTTCCTTCGTTCCTCTCATTCCCATTTCTACCTTTTCCTTCCTTCCTTCCTTCCCCATTTCTACCTTTTCCAATCCTTTTCCCTTCCTTCCCTGATGCTGTTCCCTAGTTTGGTCATGAAACATCTACAAGTAAACCTACAAACTCAAGAGAGAGCCACAGTCCTTCGTCCTCCTCCTCCTCCTCCTCCTCTGTAGGGCACATGAAACGCCTGCAAGGAAACCTGCCCCCCCCCCACCTCAAGAGAGCATCAAGCATCTCACAGTCAATAGTCCTCACCTCCACCTTGTCCCTTCCTTGCTTCCCTGATGGTGTTCTCTAGCTGGGTCACAAGACGTCTGTTGGAAAAGCACTAAATTCAAAGAGCACTCAGGACCTCGCAGTCCTCCTCCTCTCCCCCTCTCCTCCTCTATAGCACTGATGATGTTCCCTAGCTGGGGTCGTGAGACGTCTCTTAAGAAAAGCACCCAGCTCAGAGAACACTCCAATCCGAATTCTCTTTTCTTGGGTGCAACCCAATGGGGGACAAAAAGCGACCTCCCTCCTACTTGTACCCTTTGCTGCGTGTTGGATACAACAAGCCTGGCTTTGCTCCCCACCTCCCCCCGCTGCTCCCCACCCCCCAAAGACCTCCCGCAGAAGGAGAGTACTTGACTTGGATCTCAAACGGCGTAGGGGGAAGGAGGGTTGGATTACATGACCTCTGAGGTCCCTTCCAGCTCTGCGGTTCTGTTATTTGCAGCAGGGGGTTGGACTAGAAGACCTCAAAGGTCCCTTCCAACTCCTGTTATTCTGTGAGGGTCCTCTGCTTGAGGAGGGGGTTTGACTAGGACCCTTTCCACTCTGTCATGCTTATTCCGAGCAGGGGGATGGACTGGATGGCCTCCAAGGTCCCTTCCAACGATTATTCGATTACTTTGGGCAGTGGGGTTGGACGAGATGACCTCCAAGGTCCCTTCCAACAATTATTCTATTACACTGGGCAGCGGGGTTAGACCAGATGACCTCTGAGATACCTTCCCATTTTATTATTCTGGATGGGGGGGGGGTTGGACTAGATGACCTCCAAGATACCTTCCAATTCTATTACTCTGGTCAGTGGGGGTGGACTAGATGACCTCCAAGGCCCCTTCCAGTTCAGCAATTCTGACGCACTCCATTGTCAGTAAGAGGGCAAAAAGCATCCAGACCCATCACAGACTGGAAAAAAAATACGGCCAGTCCTTGCTTTACGGCCACAACTGACCCCAACATTTCTGTCATGAAGCGAGACTTTGGTTCCGTGAGTTCGGCCCCGTTTTACAACCTGTCCTGCCGCCGCCGTTACATGCGAATCACGGCCATCCTTAAGTGAGTCGCCTGGTTGTGAAGTGAGAGCAAACGTCCTGCTATTGTCCAAAGGTCGCTAATGGGGGGAGGGGGAAATCGCATGGCTTGGGACGTGGCCGTCATAAATACGAGTCAGTGGCCTCCCAATTTCGATCGCGGGGAACGTCCAAACGCCCAAACGGCTTGGAATTTGGTTATGTGCCCAGGGTGGGATTCATTCATTCATTCATTTTCTTTCTTTCTTCCTTTCCTTTCCTTCTTTCTTTTTCTTTCTTTCTTTCTTTCTTCCTTCTATCCTTCCTTCCTTCTTTCTTCCTTTCTCTCTTTCTTCCTTCCTTCTATCCTTCCTTCCTTCCTTTTTTCTTTTTCTTTGTTTCCTTCGTTCCTTCCTTCTTTCTTTTTTTCATTCTTCCTTTCTCTCTCTCCCTCTTTCTTCCTTCCATCCTTCCTTCCTTCTTTCTTTTTCTTTTCTTTCTTTCTCTCTTTTTCTTTCTTTCCTTCCTTCTTTCTCTCTCCCTTCCTTCCTTCCTTTTTTACTTCTTTTTCGCTCTTTCTCTCTCCCTTCCTTTCTTCCTCCCATCCCTCCCTCTTTCTCTCTCTGCGATTCTTTCTTACTCTCTCTCTTCCCCTTCTTTCTTTCTTTCCTTCTTTTTTTCCTTCTATCCTACCTTCCTTCCTTTCCTTCCTTCTATTCTTCCTTCCTTAATTCATTCTTTCTTTATCTCTCGCTCTCTTTCTTTCTTCCTTTTATTCTACCTTCATTCTTCTTTCTCTCTCTCTCTCTCTCTTCCTTCCTTCCTTCCTTCCTTCCTCTTTCCTTCCTTCCTCCCACCCCTCCCTCTTTCTCCTCCCCCCATGTTCCCCTTTCTGGGGCCTAGCAACCCTCCCTGCACTTACCTGGGAGCCAGAACCAGTTGGGTGGGTCCCCCGGGGGGGCGGGGCAGGGCGGGGCACCTGGGCTTCGGAACTCCTGCTCCGCCCAAGGGGACCTCAAATTGACAACCGCTTGCGCCGAACTGGCCTGAACCGGCCGAATCCCCTCCCCCCCCGGGCTAAGACGAAGTCCCATTTTGGGGTGCGGGGAGGTGACCTCTGCGCTTTTGGAACTGTTGCTAAACAGACCCCTGGAAGTCGAGGACTTGGCACCCGGCACCTTCGAACCCACCTCCCTGCCCAGCCAAAGACAGAGAGAGAGAGAGAGAGACGGAGGCTGGGTGCAGCAGGAGGGAATATACCGTTTATTGAGCGCGAGCGCATCCTTGGTGTAGAATCGGGGAGAGTAAAGTCTTAGCAAGTTCCTAACAGCTGTAATCGGCTACGGGCAACTGGGTTTCTATACAGAAGTGGTGGCTGAGTGGGGAAACTGAGGCAGGGGGTGGGCGGGCTGGACGGGGCACGTCCCCCCACCGGTCACTACATGGTCAGCTCCTGGAAGACAGAAGGGGAGAGAAGGGAAGCGTCAGGTCTAGGAAGCAGTGGGGGGGGAGGGGAGGGGGAGGAGGAGGGGTTCCTCGCAGACGTCTTGCCCCCCAACTAGGTACCGTCCTCAGTGCCGGAGAGGAGGAGGAGGAGGAGGGGGGAGGGAGGAGGGAGAATTGTGGGGTCCTTGGGGATCTCCGAGCAGGGAGGTTTTCCTGCAGGTGTCTATATATACTACATATCCTGTAGGAAGAGAAACTCCACCCTGCTCCCTCCCAGCCCTGATGATGTTCCCTAGCTGGGTCGAGAAATGTCTGCAAGGAAATCACCCAGCTAAGACCGCAGAGTCCTCCTCCTCCTCCTCTTCCTCCTCCTCCTCATCCCACTCCTCCTCCCGTTCCACCTCCTCCTCCTCTTCCTCCTCCCAGTCCTCCTCCTCCTCCT